GTGTGTAAAAAAATGTAATACATAACATAACAAAAATTCATTAAAATATCAAAAAAAAAATTAAAATAACGAATGCAACACCCTCCACAAGTGTTTCTGAATTACAGTCATTCCCTTCAAGTTGACTATGAGAAGCCGGACAATAATCGTCCGGTATCACTACTGCCAATATTGTCTAAGGTCTTATTGTCTAACGAATTGCACTTAATCAATTCATGCCTTATTTAGTGACAAACAAACCATTGCCAACAAACCAGAGAGGAAACAAGAAATGACACTCAACCGAAACTTCGTTGATACACACAACTGATGCCATTCTGGGGGCGATTGATCAAACGAAAACTAGTGCTGTTGTTCTTTTGGACATAAGAAAGGCGATAGACAGCATCTACCACAGTATCCTTCTAGATAAGCTACAGGATATTGGTGCTTCTACATCAACTCTTACATGGTTAACTAGCTATTTAGGTTGTGGGTATTAATTCCACACCCCGCATGCTTTGCCACTGACAAGTGGTATCCTGCAAGGAAGTGTTTTGAGGACGTTGCTTCTTAACATCTATGCGAATGATTTGCCGATGACACCCACCTTGACAGCAAAGTATAAGTGTGATGCTTGACAGCCATCCATTTTCAGGGCTAGTTGCTTCGGCAGGTAAGTTGTTACACACTCCTGAGCGGATTCCAACTGCCATGGCAATCATCCTGCATTCAGCAACCAATACCTATTGTGGGGTCTGATAAGCTACTAGACAGTTTGATTAGTCTTTCGCCCCAATACCCAAATTTGGCGATCAATTTGCATGTCAGAATCGTTCAAGCCTCCACCGGAGTTTTCTCTGGCTTCACCCTATTCAGGCATAGTTCACCATCTTTCGGGTCCCAACAGATACGCTCTTCCTCTTACCTTCCTAACAGTAGAATAGGTTGGTCCGTGATGCGTCCGGCTAGAAGAGTCAGAATCTCGCCTCAGCTGTCTTCACTTGCATTCTGCCTCTGGATTTCAAGCACCGTAAGACTCGCGCACGTCCAATCCACCACATCCATCAACCAGCCAGAGAGACGGGACCCTAGCCACAAGAGGCATGTGCTGCATCCATCTCGGTCGAGCCCAAGTCGGGAAAGTCCCAAGCGACGTTAACTCGCGTCCAAGAGAAGGGTGACGGTCGAGAGTGAAGGGCCCGAGATCGTGGTCTATTCAGATCCGCAAGCCCCGGACTGCCATAAACATCTCGCTGAATCTCAAAGGGCGTCCATTCGTTTCCCTTCAAACGGTTTAACATACTTTTTAACTCTCTTTTCAAAGTTCTTTTCATCTTTCTCTCACGGTACTTGCTCGCTATCGGTCTCAGGTAAGTATTTAGCTTTAGATGGAGTTTACCATACCGGGCTGCATTCCCGAACAACCCGACTCTTAAAAAGCACATTGTAATTGGCCGGCTGAGCCACAGACGGGGTTATCACCCTCTATGACATACTGTTCCAAGCAACTTAGGCACGACAGATCCGCTTAGATAATGCTTCTTGCAACTACAACTCGCCGACACAAGTGTCGGAGATTACAAATCTGAGCTATTCCCGCTTCACTTGCCATTACTTAGTTTCTGTTCCTCTTCGTATTAATATGCGTAAATTCAGCGGGTAGCCTTGCCTGATCTGAGGCCGAGATTTGATAAGTTTTCGTTCACTGTTTCAGCAAGGACCGACAATGTCTCGTATTAATGATATCTGGGTGTAGGAAAATATTAATTTTTAGCCTTTGCATTCGTGTTTCAATAGAGAATGCGCGTCCGATGCTGCTGCCCTTCAAGGCACATGGCGATAATGTATAATATACAACACGCCGTGACACCTTAATACCGCACAATCACTAAAATTCATGTGTGTTCAATAAAATCCGACACTCAGACAGCATGCTCCTGGGAGAACCCAAGAGCGCCATTTGCATTTAAATATTCAACGATTCACTGAATTCTGCAATTCACACTTCTTATCACAGCTGGCTGTGTTCGTCATTGATATGTGAGCCAAGAGATCCACCATTAAAAGTTGTCTTTTCATTTGGTTTTTTGCTTATGATGCTGTTTGCATACATAACACCTTCTCAGCCTTTAACGTTCAGAGTGATATAAAATCATGACATAGTGGCATGGCTGGTGGAAGGAACCTATCCACAATTTAACAACACACAGCAAACATGCCTATGCCGACCCCTAAAGATTTGTTGGACAGTTCACTTTGGTTTCAGTGGTTAATGACCATTCGGATTTATATCGGTAATGATCCTTCCACAGGTTCAGGTTCACCTACGCAAACCTTGATAAAACTTTTACTTCCTATAAACCCGCAGTGACAACCTCTGATATTGTTAGGTCATCAACATACTTCCAGTGGCTGGAGCGTATGGAAGATTGTAAAGCTAAATCATTGACCATAAATAGGAACAGAATAAGCCTAAGTTTAATTCCCTGAGGGACGCCCGCATGGACTGACAACCACTCGGAGATGGTTTTACCAAGTTCAACAGCTTGGTGACAATCACTAAGAAAGGCACAATCCACCTTATCGAGAAACCATGAACACCAAGACTAACAAGTTTGGAGACCAGTAAATTGTGATCAATATGGTCAAAAGCTTTGCTGAAATCTATGAGGCAGACACGAAGGAAGACCCTTCAGACACCCTTGTTGCATTTAACTGTTCAAATTCGCCTTCTAAATACGTCAAAAACCTGTACATTACAAATTCCTCGCTTGCCCTTGGCGGGTTAAAGATTGAATCCTATAATAGTAATAATTTAATGACTTATTGTAAGCATGTTACATAAAGATATGGTCACATGTGCATTACACTAGACTGATTACAATAACACATTATTTTGTATATTACAGTATGCGAAAAAATACAAATAAAAAGATGAATATTATATGTACATGAATTTGCAAATAATAGCTCACAGTAAAAATAAGGAAACGAAGAATAGGGTGTCAGATTCCTCTCAGCAATAAAATGAGAATAAATTACTAGCAGCTATACTCTTTCCTAAATAGATGGGTTTTCAGGAGCCGTTTAAAAGCGGCGACATTAATGGCATGGCGGATAACCACAGATAACCACAGGTAGATCATTCCATAGCTTTGGTGCCGGGGTAGTAAATAAATGGTCACCAAAAGTAGCGAGAGTTCTAATATTGGGATGCTGAAGAAATAGTTTGTCATCAGAAGACCTTAGATTGTATCGAGGAATAGTTTCAAGTTTTAATAACTCTGTAATATATACGACAGCGAGTCTATTTAAGGCTTTATAGGTAAAAAGTAAAATTTAAATTGAATTCTGTATCTAATTGGTAGCCAGTGGAGGCTAAATAAGGTGGGAGTGATATGATCGAAGCATCCATTATTGCAAATCAGCCTGGCCGCTGCATTCTGAACTTGTTGGAGCTTGTGCATCAGTTTGTTAGCCAAGCCATACAAGAGGCAGTTGAAATAATCCAAGTGACTCGTTACAAACACATTGACCAAAATATGAGTACAATCAAGACTGAGAAAGTTGCTAATTCTTCTTATGTTATATAAGTGAAAAAAAGCGGCTTTACAAATGTTACTAATGTGTGTTCACCTTTAACTGTCGATCAAACCAGGTACGAAGGTTCTCTACTTCGTTAGCTGATGTAGTTCTACTGTCACCGACTTACAGAGTCAATATTAACTGTCGTCAATTGCTGTCTCATTCCATTGATGATGAATTCTGTTTCATCGTCTTTTAGTTTAAGCCTGTCAGATAGCATACAATCTCTGACCTGCTGATTGCTCCTCACTGGAGTTGGCATTGAAGGAGATGAACACCTGTGTGTCATAGGCATATGCATGGACATCAGGTAGATGACGTTCGATGATCGTGAACAGCTTGCTTTTGTAGAGGACAAACATGAGGAGACTGAGACAAGATCCTTGTGGAACGCCATAGTTTACCTCAAACCTTTCCGATGTTCCGCCGTGAATAGATATGGATTGGAATCTGTGGTGCAAGTAGCACTTGAACCAGAAGTGCGCATGTCCCGAGATGCCAAAGTGGGTGTGTAGACGGTCGAGTAGAATCGCGTGGTCGACGGTACCAAAGGCTGTACTGAGGTCATGTACTACCAGGAGAGTGACTTGCTGCCGGTTCATATTGAGCAAGATGTCATTGGTGACCCACAGTAGTGGGGTTTTGGTGCTATGAAATTCATGGTACGAGGACGGGGTTTAGAATAGAGCTCAAGCAGGGTTAGATAGTCATGAGTTGACTGAAAACAGCTGGCTCAGCTAGTTTAGATACAAACGAAAGGTTACTGATTGATCATAGGTTGTTAAATTTCACCTCGGCTCTCGGTTTCTTTAGCTTTGGGTGAACGTCGGCTTGTTTTCACTTGTCAGGGAAACAACCAGATTCTAAGGACAGATTTAACATCCTGGTGAGCACTGGCAAGAGCACATCAAGCCACTCAATGACTAGGGGCATGGGCATGGGATCCAAGGAGCAAGACTTCTTACTTGATTTAGCGATTAAGCGCATGACATCATCACTTAGAGCAGAAAATGAGTCAAAGAGAGCCAAGCACATAGAGGCTGACTGTGGATTAGAACAAGTGGCAAGTTCAGTGCAAATGCGTTTGATCTTCTGCACAAAGAAGTTCCCGATGTCAATCGCTAATATCCTTACTCCTCCGAAGTTCAAGCTGAAACTGGTAGGCGCAGGTTTTGTGTTTTCACCACTAAGAAAGTGCACACTGTGGAAATCGGCGAAAGGACTGTGCAGCAGAAAGAGCCATATCCTTGACAAGGCTCATCAACATGTTTCTACTCACAGAATGGACACCAAATTACTGGAAGATAGCAGGCAAGCACGATGATAGGGATAATTATCGCCCTATATCTTATTGTTTGTGGAGACTAAGGTTCTAGAGAAGGCTGTTCACACTCAACTTTTAAACTACCTAGAGTCAAATAACCTGCTCAGTGGGAACCAGTACCGATTCTGTAAAGGTCCTATGAAAGGCACTTTAACACAGCTAGTGGAATTTATCAGAATAAATGCGGACCTTGGTTATCTTACTGGTGCCATCTTTATTGATCTTCGCAAAGTATAGAATTTGTTCAAACTTTGAGGTCCATACTCCCTTAAGCGACTTCTTAAAAAAACTCCTGGTACAGAGAAACACAAAAATAAATAAAAAACGTAATGGCATCACTACGTTGCCATGGCGACTCCGATTGCAATAAAACCCAGATCGTAAGAATTTTCATCTTCAAATAATACAGTCATGGTAACCTTTTTCCCATACCTTTACTCATGCCGATGTAGATAATGGTCAAACTTGGGAGGTATCCCCGCTAAAAACTCCAGTCGAGCCACCTTAATGGACTCGTAAACACAGAATTTTCTTCTATTGCACAGCACAGTTAGCCATATTTGTAAAAAGAGAAGCAGTGATTTTAATGTTGTACTTCCGGCTGTGCGAACTGAAATTAGAAAGAAATCAATTACGTACCAGGGAAAATGGATCTACAATCCGCTCCCGGCCTCAGCAAAGCACTGCGAATCTTTAACTAAATTCAAAGAGATGGTGAGGACTGTCATTTTGTAATTTTGTTGTTTAGGTCATTTTTCAAGTAAATGAGCCTTTTCACTTTTGGTTGTTAATTCTCATGTATTTAATTTTAGTTAATCAGGACCCCTGTTGATATCTGAACTGCTCAAGGGGCATCTCTTGTATCAATTAGGCTAAATAAATTTTCCCTAAAATGTACGAGAGTACTCAGTTAGTTGCAAAACCCGTTATGTGTATACATAACATATTGGTAACTGTCCGACTTAGGTGAACACTTCCGTGAATTTTTATGCAACTGGGTCACTGCATTATACTCACAGACAAATTGGGCAAGTTGAGACTAAAAAATGACAGATATCCTAAGAATATACCATTCCGAATTGACATCAAACACGAAAAACATTTCTTTGGTATAAGGGGTTAAGTTTTATCATTTGTCTCATGATTGTCACTTTGATATTGATCGTGACCTCTCAACCGCAGAATGCAGCTCTTCATCAGGTGATAGTGTCGATTTACTGAGTCAAACTATTTGTACCACCAAGGTTGTTAGTGATTGGTGCATCACAATCCTCGCTCATGGTTGGTGGGTTTTGATCCAAAGCATTGTTGGCATTATGAGAGGAAGAAAATGATCCCTCAGCGGTCCGCTGTAGTTGAGATCGGTTGTCATGTTGTCTGATGGTAGGCATCCACACTTCAGGAATTTCAATTCTACTGTCCCTGTTGATATTGTTAGGATGAAGTCTTATGTGAATAGCCTCCTGGAAACGTTATGTTGACGACACTTTTACCATCTTAAAACGGAATAACGTCGAAGACCTTCTACAGCATCGCAACTCTCAACAACCAACCATCCGTTTTACAATGGAGTCTGAGGATGACAACACAATTCCCTTTCTTGACCCATAGGTCATAAAAGATTCAGAAGGATGCCTCACAAGTGTTTACAGAAAACCTCGGCACACTGATCAGTACCTGCCTTATGACTCACACCACCTTCAATCAGTTAAATGCGGTGTTGTCAAGTGCTTATACGATCGATTGAAAAATTTCATCACTAAACCGTCGGCTACCTCTGAGGAAAAGAAGCATTCCTGAAGCGTGGATGCCTACAATCAGACATGACAACTGATCTCTACCACAGCGGACCACTGAGAATTCATTTTCTTCCTCACACAATGCCAGAAATGCTTTGGATCAAACCCACCAAACATGAGTGAGGTTGGTGATACACCAATCACTAGCAACTACGGTGGTACAAATAGTTAGACACAGTAAATCAACACTTTCGCCTGGTGAAGACCTGCAAACATTACAACCGATCTGTACCACAGCAGACCGCTGAAGGATCATTGTCTTGCTCTCACAAGGCCAACAATGCTTTGGATCAAAACCCACCAAACATGAGCGAGGTTCAGTAAATCGGCTGGTGAAGACCTTCAGTGTGCAGTCAAAACGTCGCAATCAATATCAAAGTGACAAACGTGAGACAAACGATAAAACTAAACTTTTTACACACATCATCCACGATAATTAATATCTTTCATGAGATCGTTGGTTCACTTGTTCCAAACTAATCAACACTTTCAAGCGATAGAATTCGTGGACCGACACGTTTCGGAAAAGCTCTAAATTCAACCTTTCCTGAAGATGTGTAGCTTTGATCATGCAACGATTCTTAGTCCCAGTTTCCATGGTCTCTGCAAGGAACGTCTGGCACACATTTGTGTATAAAATACGACGAAAAACCCTGGGCCGAGTTGTTCAAAGCTGGGTTAAGATAACCCAGGGTTAGTTCGAAATTTGAATTCAGACATGAAAGCTCAAAAAGCAAATTCATTTTAATTCTTTTTGTCAACAATTTGATGATTGGCTACTCTAAAAAGAATAGAGAAAATTGTCCAAGAAAATGCTTTTGATGAAAAGGTAAAGAGACCCTGGTTAAAATTTAACCCTGGGTTAGCGCTAATCGGCCTTCGAACAACTGGGCCCTGGGGGTTATTTCCACATAATTGGGTGGGGGTGTGCTGCATGCTTCCTGAAGCCCTTACCCTATTTCAGATATGAAGCCCTGGAGCCTGGCATGTGATCGGAGCGCATTATTACGGCACGTACATGGTTGGCGTAGACATTAAAAGGGAAATGGTCTTATCGCCAAATGATGAAAAAGTAGCTTCTTGAAAAAAACATACCTAATTCAAGACGAGAGTGCACAAACCATACCCTATTTCAGACCAAAATGGTCGAAATTTATAACCTATTTCAGACCAAAACGGCTAAACAACCATACACTTTGGTGCTGTACGTACCTATATAGCCCATATAAGGGAGTACCCCCCCGGGCGAAAAATAAGCCTCGCTGCTTACGCAAGTGAGACTAGCAAGTTGCTCTAGGGAAGTCATACGCTTTTTGTCGAAATGTCCAATATTCCATGCTTTCTTTTGTTACTTGCAATAAGTGATGGCTAAATAATTGCGTGCATCAATATCTAACATTCTAACTAACATTTACGAGTCAAGAGGTTGAAAACTCTACAACCTTCCTCAGGCTACATTAAAAAACTTATCACCTTTTTAACCAACTCGACTGACACTCCGCCTCTGCCTCTGTGGGGTCCCCATGCTGTGTGATTATAAATGGGATCGTTTATGATTGGATAACCCAGCCACTGCAAGTGAACACGGATCTGATGCATTCGTCCGGTGTATGGTACACCTACAAAACAACACACTGTGGTTACACAATATACGAATTTTAAAAATCTGGATAATTGTATCTTGTTATTGTAGAGCTTTGATTCGCTACGATAGCCACAATGGCAGACGACTAAGGTGGTATATCCCCCCCCCACAAATATGTGGGCCACAAAAAGGCCAAACAATATCGCAATTAAACTGAAAAGATGTCAAAAATTAGACAAAAATGCAGGGAAACGTCTCGACCAGTAACAAAAAAAAATGCATATCACGGTCCTTAAAGCGAGATCATTGGCCAAAATACATCTGAGGGCAATACAGAATATTTTTTATGGCCCTCTCAGTCTCCTTTAGCGAATGCAGGCTGCCCGCTTCGACCAGAATGACAAACAGCTCATATTAGCGTTCCCTCACAATGACCTAGCCAGGCCTAGTACAAAGAATGGGATTAAAAGATGAATTGAAGTGTCTAGGATATTTAGAAAATGTGAAAATATGCAAACATTTGACGCATATTTATTTGCAATAAGGCCAATGTTTGACAATGTGCCCCCTTTGAACTTTGGTTTTGTATGTATGGATTGAAGCTTAGCAGTCGCATTCTTTCCTTAAAGATGGTTTAAGAACCTGCTGGAAGAAATTTTTCATTTTCATACCCCAAAACATTACGTGTAGCCAAGCAAGATCAGCAGATTCTTACATGTGATGACAGTTTAATTACGGTGAGTGTTTTAACCAAGGCGTTTGACTTTGAGATTGCAAATTCATATTAAAAGGAAATACTTTTTTTATTAACTTTATTTATTTATTTTACGTTTTACTACTCTTGTTATGAGATATGGCTACATAATACATTCTGAAATAGTTTAATTAGAATTATCATAACACAGTAACTCTTGTTTATTTATTTTATTCTAGTAGCCAACTACTATATCTCCTTCATAGAAATTTAGAACCTCATTAAGAACCTACTTAGCTTAAATTGCCATTAACTACCCTAAAAATGTGCCTCTTCTGCTAGACATAAAAAAATGTACTCCAAAAAAATGTACTCCATTAACTTTTCTTCTACCCAGATGAATAAATGAGTAACAGGGACATACAGTACTTCTATGGTGGACTAGCACGCCATATAGAGGAGTAGCGATACTCCAACCTAGGTGCTTCATGCTACCGAAACCATGTTAAGCTCCAACCATTTAGGCTATAGCTTGTGTGAATGTACCTTTTAAGTTTCGCCCCATTGAAAGTCAGGACTACTTTTGTTGGTTTCAGCCTTTCTGACCGACCATTCAGCAGACAACGTTGAAAAGTGCAACAAATGTTGGAAGTTTTGAGTCAAAGACCAATGCCAACAGCTTCGGGTAGTGTGGACAGTTCTTTGTCGGTTGCCTATCAGAGCGCACAATATGAACCTGGGAGTATAGGCGGGTAAAATATTCTACATGAAATTGTTTCATTCGAACTTGTTCCACGGATGTCTGCTTCTTTTTGTTTTTTTTGTAGTTAATCTTCTAGAGGCTGTTTTTTCACTTAGTCAACTTGTAGATGCACCACACATTCATAATGTTATCCGATTTTTTCCTTGTCCACCAGGTGTGATACGTTTTCTGCTGACAAGTACGTTTGGGTTTTGGATCTCTCAGTATTGTTTATAAAGGTTATTTGTGCCTGGGTGATTCTCTATTTACCATTGTCAGGGATATTTAATGACTGAAGATGAAGTAATAGGTGAAGTAACATGAGGATAAAATTAAACCGTGGAGTATTCTGGCAGGTAAGTAGTTTTCTTTGGGTATTTAATGTCCCCTTTATAACTTGGGGAAGAAGAAGTTTCTCAACAACTGTTTTGCTCTTTTGTAATGTTTTATTCATACGCCTTGTTTATCACATGTCGAAACTGATCACTTTCTTTAAGCAGTTTTAGCGTTAGCAAGTTTTGGCGTCTACCAATGACTACGAATTCAGCTTTTTCATTGTGACGCTTATGATTACCTTGCACTGCTCAGGACCTAATGTCTTTGATGCAGAGTTCCATACAAGTGCAAAAGCTTGTCTGTCAATACCACTGGCACAAAAACAGAGATGAAGCTGTGTCTTCACCATTCAAATACACAGAAGATGCGAACCAATAGCATCAATTCATTTGTTTGCGTAAATCCAAGACAGCAACCTTGATGGACTCCCCATTTTTAAACAGCGTCATCAGACATTGTGCCATAAAAAGAAACACTGTTATTGATCGGCTATATACGATGCAAACCATACGAAAACTTTGCCTCTAAGGCCAAACTCAATAACTTACCATTTGTTTTGAAGCTGAGTCAGCAGCCATCTATAACAAGACTCATATTCACATTTGCATGAACAATCTTTACCCTGCTAATCAGTCATCATATAGGAAGAAACAGCGTTGCCGCGGTATTTAATACTGTCAATCACAATGTTTTACTCAGTTGGCTCCACTCAAAGTTTGGTACATGCAGAACGGCACCTCAGTGGTTTCGATCCTACCTTAATGGAATATCTCACCATGTCAAAGTTCAAGGAAATCTATCTCGAATTTTAAATTTGAACTGCAGTGTACCACAGGGCTCGTGCCCTTGGCCATTGCTTTTCACGACCCATGCAAGCAATTTGTTTGATCTGAACCTTCCAACGATTCACAGCTATGTCGACAACACGCAGTTGTATGTGTCTTTAACTTCTTCAAGAAAAAAGTACTGGGCAATTTAAAGGTGTCACTGCCATTAGGAACTGTCTGGATGATATATGTAATTGAATGACCAATGATAAATTACCACTCAGTGACAATGAAACAGAATTCCTAATGATTGGTACCAAGCAGCAACTGACCTCGGTTAGCATTGATCATAGTTTAATTGGAGACTGTGAAATTAGACCAACTGGGGCATTTAAGAGCCAATGTCTGTAATTTTCGAGAATCGGTTGACAGTCGTGAATTTTTGAATTTCTTCATATTTTGCCNTTAAGAACTTAGGGATGTGGCTAGACTCACATCTTTTAAGAAATTCTTCAGTAAATAACATTTACTCTAAAGGCTTTTATTACTTGTTAGTCACGCTTGCATAAGCAGCGACACTCGTAATCTGCAAGCCGTTTTTTTCTTCGTATTTAGGACATACAAGGGAGTCATGCTCCCAAGTGTTCAGGAGACCATGGAAACTGTGAATAAGAACCGCTGCATGACCGAAACCACACGTTTTACAAAGAAAGCTTAGGAATGATTAATGCGATTTAGAGCTTTTCTGGAACGAATTGGTCCACTAATTCTATCACTTGAAAGCGTTGATTACTTTGGAACAAGTGATCACTTCAACGGTCAAAAAAAGAAGAATGTTAACCACCAAAACTTTAATGGTGAGGCTAACTGGTCGGGTGTAGTAAACTTTCATTGTATACAAGTGAGTCTTGTGATGAGCATGGGGTTTATTTTTGGCTGTTTGAATCGAGGCCCTTGATTTTCATGTTAATATACATAATTAGCCAGGGCCAAAGGCGAAGCTCCCATCAATGAATTTATGATTTAAATCAAACACATTAGTGTGACTTTTGAGGGAAAGGCTTATTGATTTTCGAGAAAAATGATTTGCAAACAGCCCAAGAGTGAAACAAAGCTTACATCGATTTAATAGCCTTATATGTACACCCAAAAAATAGCAATCATCTTCGATGAGTCAAGAGGCATAATGGCTCTTATCACAGTAGATTTGGCCTGGAAAACAAATTCTTCCGAAACAAAATAACCCACGGCCCACCTACACCACCTTTATTTAATAAGGTTAATAGGACAGCTCCGAAATTTAATTTTATGCTATAAAGTCTGGTTATAAGACAGGATAGTCCTCGGTGGCAGCCAATTTACACGTTGTAATTTATGAATAAAACTGAAGCCGAATTTTTTTGTGTTCGACAAGTTTGGCTTTGCAAAATCTTGCCAACAAATCTCGTGATGTGTAAGCAAGCCTTTTATACTTTTTATACATCACAGCTGAGGTACACAGTACTATGTAGCGTTTTTTTTAGTAAGCTTACATACCTTGGACAGAATGCAGTTTTTCACAATTTTGCAAGGCAAATTGCATTCATTCAATAATCAGGATGATCGAAGCACGCACTTCCTTTGCGCAAGAAATTAAAGAATTGATCACATAAAACGTTCTCATGAAGAGAATTCCATAATGTCAAGACTGTTCAGTCAGAACAATCTGCTCCTATGTGTTATGTAGGGATATAATGGGCTTTTAGCGAGAACGTTCATAAAATTTCCAAAATCACCTATATAGCCAGGCGGTTCTTACTTTAGACAAGTCCCAAATTTGCAGTGCAAGTTGTCGGATGTTTAAACAACATAATAAAGGATGTATTATTATTTTTATTATGATCTTTAGTCAATGGTTTTATTATGTGTAATGTTTAAAAGCGTTTGATACGCGCGGCATTTTCAGTACTCCTGCATGCGTTGTTAATAGACGACTTAAAACAACCGCCAAAGCGATTAAAATTGCAAGAGAGACTACTAACAATCAATAAAAGAAATATAATTCGGTGAAACATTTACAGAGACAACAATTTTCATTCATAAAGACAAGTATTAAAGTGTCTCTAAAAATCCATGTAAGCTTAAGCATATAAACAACCTTGCAGCTTTACATTTATGTTTAGCCGGCTTCCCAGTGTTTGCTATTTTTCAAGATGAACTCGAGGCAAGAAAATTGCTCAAAGCTTTCTTTTGACAGTCAACGTTATAAATAGATATTCTTCGCAACGATTTCTTTCTGTTTGCAACGAGAAAACGTCTGAAGGCTTTTTAAAGTTCCGTAAGGTTATGTCAAACCTGATACTAGGTCAGATCATTGTCACAAGCTTTACAAACGTGCATAAACTAGCCGCATAAACTACGCTCGACTTCCTGAAACGAGAAAAAAATAAGAACAAAGACAAAAATACAATAATTACTCAGGCTGACCAGTCGAGATGAAGCTACTAAAAGCCATCAAGTAAGGCCAGAATCGCTTGAGACTTTTACACCCTCTAACACATCAAGCAAGGTGGAAAATGAAACGAGGCCATCCAAAATCGGATTTCCAATGACTTTGACAAGCGGCGCAATTCTCCACCAAAAAATAAATAAACAAACAAGCCACGAATATCGGACGAATCTTAAAAGCAACTGTATTTCATTTTGTACATCCAGTGGAAAAAGACAGTTAAAAGCATCACAAGACGACACAAAACTCTGTTAGCTTCAGCTATCAGTAAACAAGTTTCAAAATGCTGCATAACTTTTCTGCATGAACTCACCTGTAAAATTTTGACCAATCAGAGCATAAAAATTGGATGTAGAGCGTGACCAACGCATGACCACGGTGAGAAAAGTCAAAAGCAACTGCCTTAACCCATGCGCTCCTGGAGATTTTGCCGAAAAACGCGTTTTGAAGCTACTCGAGTGGTTTTCTGGTCACTGTCGTGCTATAAAGAGCTAAAACTTACCAGAAACCGGTTCACAGGTCGTACACTTCGCGGCCTTCTGATCCAGATGCAAAATATCAGCTTGCGAAGTTCAGGCATGCGCAGAAAGCAAAATTTTGGGTTTAAAAGTGACACAGCAGTCTTGACTTTTACTTTTCGCTTTCTCTCCTCCCTTCTTTTTTCGCTTTTCTTGCCTCATTTTTTTTTTCTCTTGCTGGGCATTTAGTAGGCTTCATTTTGGTGGGAAGAGTTTTTAGGAAAGCTTTTAGGATCTTAGGATTAGGTGAAGGGAAAGGTAAGTGGGTAATGGAACAAGATTTTCATGGAGATTTTCAGGTCAATGTCACGTGGTTTTTTGCTTGTTTCTCCGGTGTCCTTGACTGAATTGTGCTCATTCTGGTATGGTTTGAAAGATCTCTTCACTCTGCACAAGTTAGCGAAGAAAGTTGTCCTTGACCGTTAAAACTGATGACGTCACAATGAGTAGAAAGGACCTGGATCCGCACGGGCGGTTACGGGCGGTTCAGGGCGAATGGGTTAACTGGCTCAATGTTCGCGTTCGAGGTCAGTTTGATATCAAAATTCAATAGATCTAGTGCGGCTAAAAAACTAGGCCTTTCCCGATTCGCTGAGCACCTTTTGAGCATTTTTTTGAGTTTGGAGCGATATTTTGCATTTTGAGCACCCTTACGCACTTTTTCGCACTTTGGGCAACATTTGAGCAATATTTCACATTTCGAACAAATTTCGAGAAACATATGTCTTCTAAAACATTTTAAAGCAAAAACTGTGTGTCGCTTGCAACGAGAATCGTGTTCCAGGTCATAAATTTGAATAACTAATGATGTTGTCAAGAATAAAAGACCGTTGTCATGGTCAGGCACGTGGACTTATTCTCACTGAGCGTGAGAACAGAAGTTTCTGATTGGCTGATGTATCATGCGTGTGTCATCTCAAATTTCTAAATCATCTGATGCTAGTACTGCTGAATTAATTTAAAATTCGTAACCGGCTTTAGTTTTTTAAAAATATTATTGTTCTATATTCTATCAACCTTTCGTAACAACCTGTCGAATAACACTAAGCAAAATAGATTGTTAATTACTTCAGTAAAAATTGACATATTTACGAAAAGCTTAGAGGTAACTGTTCACAACTTTTAGCACTTTTTGAGCACTATTTTGAGATTTTGAGCACTTTTTAGCCATTTTTGCCAG